GATCGAGTACTCGGTTACTCGGATGATTTTTAGTAAAAGTATCAATATTTATTATTTATTTTATTCTATATTTATCGGTAGTAGTAATGCACAAATATACCATATAGGGACATTTTATTTACAACACACACCCATATACGATATCGTCCAAGATTTACGACTTGAAAATAAAGAAAATTAATAGGGAATTCGGCACACAAAGAAGACAAATAAATACGTCATCGTCAATCACTTTTTTTCGCTTTCTTTTTCAGCTCCCGAAATATGTCGCAATCAAGGATAATAATTATTTACATACTCCATAATTAATAGTTTATATGTGGAGTGTCCAGTAAATAGCTGGTTTCCGAATAATTTAAGCTTAGGTGATTTAACAGATTTTGAATTAGCTGTTCTTTTGTTACAACTCCAAGCTTATTATGTCTGCGGCGGCATCTCGTTTTTAGATTATTTATCAAATGAGGTAATTATAACTCAGACCTTCAAAATATGTATACCCCAAGCAATCAAAGCTATCAATTATATAAACTGTGAAAACTAATCAAACAATTTCGTTCACTACAACCATACACTAGTTTAAGTCTAACGGTACCTAAAATTAGTGAAATGTGTAAGTTCGTATACATTTATAAATTATCAAACATTCATTTTCTATGCCTTTACTATGTAGAATTTATTTTATCCGAGTAACCGAATAGCAGTTTTACTAACCGATACTCGCAACGTTCGACGGTTAACCGGTTAACCGGGTACTCGTTGCCAACACTAGTCAAAACTGAAAAGAAGTCCATAATTTTTGTCAATTTCATTGAAATCAATTTTTTTAAAGACCAAAAAAAAAAAAAGAATTATTAAAATATTTCTCTGTGCTTTGATAATTGTTGATGTTGGCATTTCCACTGAAAACTTATTATTATACTAGTATTCTTCAACAGTAAGATGGACAACTACAGAGATTATGTGATATTCATAAAACACATTTTCTCCCTGTAGGTTTATGGAGTGTTTCCCACATCTGTACCAGGCTGGTGAAGGTCTGCTGTCAGGATATGAGGAGATGGATTGTTACATCAGGTTCTGGAACTCCCATGGTCACCCACCTCCTTACAGAACCCAGAGTGAGGCTGAGAATTGTTTGACCCTGAGTGACCTCTGTAAACTGTCTGACATCCATAGAGAGGCTGCTGACCTCATTATGGAGTATAAAGCCCAGTTACATATAGGCAGGAGGATTGAACTTGTTTCATTAATAATGAATGCACTCCCTGAAGTAAAAGCTGGAAATGCTCTTGGTATGAATTTTGCTTTACCTTAGCAAAGAAATTAAATTCTTAATAAATTTTTTTCGTAATATGGAATTTCTTTTGTATTTTTTAGTTGCAGGTACGTTTCTCAACTGACATTGTAATTATCTGTTTTGCATATCCTCCTTTAGTTTGAACCTCCTGATTTTTTTTTCCATTTGTACAGTGTATTAACCTACTTCAATATTTGAATTGATCAATTTTCAGACAATAACACAGAGACCATTAGAAAGGTTAGACAACTCCTGCAGCAATATAACCTAACACAAGAGGAAATGAAGCCAGTTAACAATGCAATGGAAACGGACCAATCAGAATACAACAATACTTTGTCACAATGCAGCCAATCAACATCTGGGAATCATGTTGACCTTTGGCCTCTACATGATCAAATGTTTGTTCTCTCTGAGCTGAAGTTAGTCAATAAAATGTTGACATCATCAGAATGTACTGCTTCACCAGAGGTCGGGGCATTAGTTAACTATGGAATCCAGTTTACACCTGTGTCACCGATAGTTTTAACAAAACTGAAAGCAAAGTGTGAAGACAAAAGTCAGGTAATCCAGTGTTTTATAATGAAACTGAGGTCATCTTAAGGGGACTGACTATAATTTTATTGTGTGAAAACTACAATAGCCAAACTCTTCATTTTTTATACCATATATAGCTTACATTTACTTCAGTGTACTTGCAAAGTTGAAGGGAAATCTACCGTCTAGGTATTTTTGAGGGACCGTCTCAAAATACAGGTACATTTACCATAGGATTCATAGGAAAATGCCCATTTTAAGCACTTTAAAGCAAATTATACAAAAACTACAATAGACATTTTGTTCAAACTATAATATTTGATTAGTAATACTTTATTATACAATATATATAAGAAACACCAAATTCTACCGTTTTGTTACCAGAGGGGGCATCTAAAAATGGCAAAAATTAGCAAATACTATTTAAATATAATATTATAAATTTTGACGCATCCAATGGATTCGCAAGAAACATTATAAAAATATTGGAGATATTCTCAAATTTCTATGTTTTAAATATCAAGAGCGTATGTTTATTACCTTTTCTTTAATATTATTTTTATTACCCCTTTCTATAAGAGCTACACCTATCAATTGCAAAAGTGGTTAAAAAATCAGTTATATCAAATGTAATTACATTTTTATGCCTACATTTTCTTAATTTTGTTTGATTTTAACCCCTTCCCCGCAGTCACACATTTTAACGCATATACGATTTCCTATTTCTAACGCAAAATCACACATATACCGTTTCCCCGCAATCACGCATTTTTACGCACTTTAAAGTTAATTTAATCTTTCATTTAATGCCAATTTCATTCATTTTTATACTTGCAAAGATCTCATAAAATAAGAAAAGTTATATTTGTATTATAAATCTACGTCATTATATTATATACGCTAAAGTGTAGAGAAATGTGTACCACGCTATAAGGTGCTTGCAGGGAAATGGTAAATTTCTATTTTCATGACGTGAACATTAAGTGTATGTTGCATAACAGTTCAGTAAGTTGTAAAGAGTTAATAATTAAGCAAAAAAAGTTGCTTTAAAACCGTAATTAGTTTCATTTTACTATGATGCACGAAATATTGCGCAATGGAAACTATAGTCGGCCCTGTTTAAATGTGTAAATTATGATGTTAAATACAAGGAAAAGCAAAGATCTAAGTAACATAATACATTTGTAAAAACTTACTATTGGAAAATGAAATTGTCTGTTATGATATGCAAACACATTTATTTACAGGAAGCTGTGAGTAACACTTTGTGTGAGATACTCTGTGATATGTACCAACAACTGTGGACCAACACGTCAGCTACAGGACTAAACTGGTGGTTAAACTGGTATCCATCCCTTGAGAGCATGGCATCAAGTGTTGATAGGACCAAAGAAAGTTTGGTAAGATTTGATGTAATCAGACACTAAAACTTGATAGCTATATATGTCCCAGTTTTATTAAGCTAGAGTACTGTGAGTACATGTACATGACATTGTTTAATATTTGACAGCTGTTAAGTTCATTGACTATAAGTATTCTAAGCAAACCAGAACAAACTGCCCAATATTAAAAAAGTAAAAAGCACAAAAAACATTTTTAAATTACATCTCTAACAATTTAAAGTTTAATGACTAATTGGGGGGAAACACATTAAGTACAATGTGTATTTTACAAATTCTGGAAATTCATAGCATATTTTATTGATAACAAGCAAATGCTGGAGGTAGGTAAAGCAACTTCTATGTTACCACATATTTATCTGCTTGTTATTTGTGTAATATTTGTCACAAATGTTAACATATATAAGTAATTTACAACAAGGTTAATAAAACAGATTTCAATTCTATGGCACTTTGGGCTTCATGGGATTGGATCATGTATATAATTAAGTTCATTTTCCAGTGAGTTTTTCAACATTTATTATACCCCCCGCAAACGAAGTTTGGGGGGGGGGTATATAGGAATCACCTTGTCCGTCTGTCCCTCTGTCTAGCTGTCCGTCTGTCCATCCGTCCGTCTGTCCATCTGTCTTTGCAAATGTTTCCGGTCCATATCTTTCTTACAGAGGGACATAAGAATCTTCTACTTTACACAAGGATTGCCCAAGACCTAAGGGTGTGTCTTGACCTTGACACTAGGTCATTTGAGGAAGTTCAAGGTCACTGGAAGAAAAATTTAATAATTCGTGTCTGGTCCATATCTTTCTTATGGATAAACTTGGTAGGTTCTCATTTCACACAAAGATTGCCCATGACCCAAAAGTGTGTCATGACCTTGACCCGAGGTCATTTGGGAAAGTTCAAGGTCACTGGAAGAAAATTTTCATAAGCCATGTTTGATACATATCTCTTATAGATACACTTGGTAGGTTTTCATTTCACACAAAAATTTCCCATGACACAAAGATGTGTCATGACCTTGACCAAAGGTCATTTGGGAAATTTCAAGGTCACTGGAAAAAAAAATTTTAATATTCCCTGTCCGGTCCATATCCTTCTTATGAATAAACTTGGTAGGTTTTCATTTCACACAAAGATTGCCCATGACCCAAGGGTGTGTCATGACCTTGACCCAAGGTCATTTGGAAAAGTTCAAGGTCACTGGAAGAAAATTTTCATAATTTGTGTCCGGTCCATATTTTTCTTATAGATAAACTTGGTAGGTTCTCATTTCACACAAAGATTGCCCATGACCCAAGGGTGTGTCATGACCTTGACCCAAGGTCATTTGGAGAAGTTCAAGGTCAATGGTAAATAAATTTCACAATTTGTGTATGGTACATATCTTTCTTATGCATAAACTTGGTAGGTTGTCATTTCACACAAAGATTGCCCATGCCACAAGGGTGTGTCATGACCTTGACCCAAGGTCATTTGGGGAAGTTCAAGGTCACTGGTAGAAAAATTTCATAATTCATGTCTTGTCCATATCTTTCTTATGGATAAACTTGGTAGGTTTTTATTTCACATAAAGATTGCCCATGACCCAAGGGTGTGTCATGACCTTGACCCAAGGTCATTTGGGGAAGTTCAAGGTCAATGGAAGAGACAATTTCATAATTCGTGTCCGGTCCATATCTTTCTTATGGATAAACTTGGTAGGTTTTCATTTCACACAAAGATTGCCCATGACCCAAGGGTGTGTCATGACCTTGACCCAAGGTCATTTGGAAAAGTTCAAGGTCACTGGAAGAAATCTTTCATAATTTGTGTCCGGTCCATATTTTTCTTATAGATAAACTTGGTAGGTTCTCATTTCACACAAAATTTGCCCATGACCCAAGGGTGTATCATGACCTTGACCCAAGGTCATTTGGAGAAGTTCAAGGTCAATGGTAAATAAATTTCAGAATTTGTGTATGGTACATATCTTTCTTATGCATAAACTTGGTAGGTTCTCATTTCACACAAAGATTGCCCATGTCACAAGGGTGTGTCATGACCTTGACCCAGGGTCATTTGGATAAGTTCAAGGTCACTGGTAGAAAAATTTCATAATTCATGTCTTGTCAATATATTTCTTATGGATAAACTTGGTAGGTTTTTATTTCACACAAAGATTGCCCATGACGCAAGAGTGTGTCATGACCTTGACCCAATGTCATTTGGGAAAGTTCAAGGTCACTGGAAGAAAATTTTCATAAGCCATGTTTGATACATATCTCTTATAGATACACTTGGTAGGTTTTCATTTCACACAAAGATTTCCCATGACACAAAGATGTGTCATGACCTTGACCAAAGGTCATTTGGGAAATTTCAAGGTCACTGGAAAATTTTTTTTTAATATTCCCTGTCCGGTCCATATCCTTCTTATGAATAAACTTGGTAGGTTTTCATTTCACACAAAGATTGCCCATGACCCAAGGGTGTGTCATGATCTTGACCCAAGGTCATTTGGAAAAGTTCAAGGTCACTGGTAGAAAAATTTCATAATTTGTGTCCGGTCCATATTTTTCTTATAGATAAACTTGGTAGGTTCTCATTTCACACAAAGATTGCCCATGACCCAAGGGTGTGTCATGACCTTGACCCAAGGTCATTTGGAGAAGTTCAAGGTCAATGGTAAATAAATTTCACAATTTGTGTATGGTACATATCTTTCTTATGCATAAACTTGGTAGGTTCTCATTTCACACAAAGATTGCCCATGTCACAAGGGTGTGTCATGACCTTGACCCAGGGTCATTTGGGGAAGTTCAAGGTCACTGGTAGAAAAATTTCATAATTCATGTCTTGTCCATATATTTCTTATGGATAAACTTGGTAGGTTTTTATTTCACACAAAGATTGCCCATGACCCAAGAGTGTGTCATGACCTTGACCCAATGTCATTTGGGAAAGTTCAAGGTCACTGGAAGAAAATTTTCATAAGCCATGTTTGATACATATCTCTTATAGATACACTTGGTAGGTTTTCATTTCACACAAAGATTTCCCATGACACAAAGATGTGTCATGACCTTGACGAAAGGTCATTTGGGAAATTTCAAGGATACTGGAAAAAACTTTTTAATATTCCCTGTCCGGTCCATATCCTTCTTATGAATAAACTTGGTAGGTTTTCATTTCACACAAAGATTGCCCATGACCCAAGGGTGTGTCATGACCTTGACCCAGGGTCATTTGGAAAAGTTCAAGGTCACTGGAAGAAAATTTTCATAATTTGTGTCCGGTCCATATTTTTCTTATAGATAAACTTGGTAGGTTGTCATTTCACACAAAGATTGCCCATGACCCAAGGGTGTATCATGACCTTGACCCAAGGTCATTTGGAGAAGTTCAAGGTCAATGGTAAATAAATTTCACAATTTGTGTATGGTACATATCTTTCTTATGCATAAACTTGGTAAGTTCTCATTTCACACAAAGATTGCCCATGTCACAAGGGTGTGTCATGACCTTGACCCAGGGTCATTTGGGGAAGTTCAAGGTCACTGGTAGAAAAATTTCATAATTCATGTCTTGTCCATATCTTTCTTATGGATAAACTTGGTAGGTTTTTATTTCACACAAAGATTGCCCATGACCCAAGGGTGTGTCATGACCTTGACCCAAGGTCATTTGGGGAAGTTCAAGGTAAATGGAAGAGACAATTTCATAATTCGTGTCAGGTCCATATCTTTCTTATGGATAAACTTGGTAGGTTCTCATTTCACTGAAAGATTGCCCATGACCCAAGGGTATGTCATGACCTTGACCCAAGGTTATTTGGGTAAGTTCAAGGTCACTGGAATAAAAAATTTAATAATTTTTGATTTTGAAACATTTCTTTATTATGGAAAAACTTACATCTGAAAAACCCAGCGGGGGGTATTTCGTCTGGTTTGGACAGTTATTTATTTCTTCATGAACACTTGGAGAGGTTGCTTTTTACTGATCAAGCAGGTATACAGGCATAAATAAAATAATAAATAAAATGTTAGTTTTCTGTATTCTGTAAATACTTGTACACAGAGAGAGTAGAACTGTTTAATCCCCTGACCCAGAGATTGTGTTGATCATCAATACAGAGAGCACGGGGAGTTAGAGGACTTTCATCTAATGGGAGTAGGAGAGACAGGAACTGACCATTAATGTCCAGCAGGTGGACACTAGAGTAATTCCCAAATAATGAATAAATGCTATTTCACACCAAAATGTGTCCCAAAACATCTGTACAGATTCCATAAGGACAGAATCCATACTGAGACTCGAGACCAGAGTAAGAGAAGCGGTACTCTCCCGATGCAGTCACCGCCACAACCTTAAGGGCTTTCCAGTCAGATGTACAGATGTCGCCATTGATATTCTCTGTGATGTAATCTATATGTTGATAGAGAGATTGCCCTTTATCATTCCACTGTATGTCCTGTAGCTTTCTTCCTTCTCTGTTGTATCTGGTGACTTTATGGTTTGAATTTTTCTGGTTTGAATTTCTCTTCATCCCGATCAATATGTTTCCATTGTTAGGAGAGGAGAAGATGGCTCCAGGTTCCCAGCACCCTGTCTGGATAAATTTGTTGATAGTCATGTCACTAGTTACTCTGTATACAGTTTTTTCACAGTTTTCTGTGTAAAGAAGTTCTCCCTCTGTGGTGACTGTGTGGATACCGTGGGAATAATTCATACCGGTGGGTATTTCATTTATGACTTTTCCTTTAGAATCCATGTCATACTGAATGAGATTCCCCCTCCTTTCACTGGCCCAAACTTTGTTGGAGGGTAAGAGAGAAAAATGAGACACTCCCTTGCCCTGGATAGTTTCATCTTTTATTTTTGTGACAGAAGAAAGCTTAAATCTTTCTGATAAATCTAGTTCTATTTTACCCATCTGTTTGGATATGTCTTGTTTATTTAGTGCACCTAATGTAAAAGTTGGAAGTTTGGGTTCAGGTTTCCGAGGCATCTTCAGGGTAACTTTTGAAATGTCTAATTGAAATTTCATAAGTTCAGTGTGTGTTATGGATGACATTCTACTCTCATAGTCTTCAATCATTTTTTCCAGGTACTTTATGTAGTCCTCTAATTCCTTCTGTTGTTCTTCCATATCATTTAGTACAGAGTTTTCAATCTCATCCAGTTTTTTGTTATTATCAGTTAGTACACTCTCAACAGTCTTCTTAACTTCATCTGCTCTATTCTTCATGGAATCTCTAAACTTGGCAATTTTCTTCTTGACATTTTTTCTCTTTTCTGTAATTGATTCAAGATTATCTTTAGCTTTGGGAATGACAGTTTTCCAGATCACAGTTATTTCCTTCTGAGAATCCTGTAGAAAGTCATTGTAGATGGGTTTAAGGTCACTTTTTTCATGGTTTCTATGATCCAAGTCGAAGCATGTAGAACAAACAGGTTCCTGACAAAACTTACAGTAAATATTTATGTCTTTGGTGCAGTGGTTCCTGCATTTCTCTGATGGTAGTTTTCTTTTTCTCTCCCTATAGAGGACAATCTCGTGTCCATTGTTCTGCTCTAGATGAGACTGTTTGCATTTGTCACAGAGTCGTTGATGACAGGTACTGCAGTAAAACTTTGAGGAATTGCTACAGGATTCTGTGTCACACTCAATAAAGTGCTGGGCTGTATCTGGTACCTGGTCCATTGATGTTGATGAAAAACCTCTAAATTATATTTAATATTTAAATCATGGATGATAAGAATTTACATAATATACTCTTCATTTAAAGAGAAAATTTACTTAGTTTAAATATTACCTGTTCTTTGGTCTGCTAAATTGTTCCATTCACAATATAACCTTTATTCATGATTTGTGTAGTTAGATGATTTGCAATTTATGTGTATGTAGGAACTACCTATTTCAAACAAAATCATTTAAATCTCTTTGTATTCTTTTCAAAGCCACAGCATTTAAAGAGAAAAAAAAGGGCTTCAATAATTATATCATATATGAAGGGAATTTAAAAGACAAGGCTACACTGTAGTGCAAAATGGGGACAATAAGTTTTAACATTTATATTGGTTGGTTCTTTGTGTACTATTTAAATGATTAAAAGATGTTATCTGATAATTAATAGTGTGGCAAATTTGGAGTATTTTTAATTTTTCATGTGCATTGGAAATACATCTTAAAACTGTTTTATCTCTTTTGTTCATTGTATTATGCTTTATGCACCTCAGTTAGATATTTGAATATCCAACCGATAGGCAGTTGGATATTTAAAAATCAAACTGATGGCCAGTTGGATCTAAACAATATCCAATTAGTGCTGATTGAAACGGTAAATTATGCGTTGACTGATAACAATGGGTGACATCATAGAAGTTTTTAGCTCTACTGGTCAGAGACCAGAAGAGCTAATGCGATAGTAATGCGTCCGTCGTCCGTCCGTCTGAGTGTCTAGCTGTCTGTCTGTAAACAAAATGTCAATCCTCCTACATTTTTGGTTTGATTTCAATATAACTTGGCACACAAGTAGACTATACTAAGATACATAATTCTGTGCATTGGTTGATTTCGATGAACGATCTTGCGGTGGTTACGAAAAATAGAAATTTCTGTGAATTTCTTTCAAAATGCTACACCTCCTTCAGCTTTGGTCCAATTTCAATATAACTTGGCTGACAAGTAGACTACACTAAGATACATAATTCTGTGCATTGGTTTTTAATTTCAATGAACGGTGTTGCTATTGTTACTAAAAATAGAAATTTCTGTGAAATTCTTTGAAAATGCTATTCCTCCTACAGTTTTGGTCCAATTTCAGTATAACTTGGCTGACAAGTAGACTACACTAAAATACATAATTTTGAGCATCGGTTTTTGATTTCTTTGAACGGTATTGCCATGGTAACTGAAAATCGAAATTTCTGTTATATTCTTTCAAAATGCTACTCCTCAAACAGTTTTGTTCTGATTTCAGTATAACTTGGCACAAAAGTAGACTACACTAAGATACATAATTCTGTGCATCGGTTTTTGATTTCGATGAACGATATTTCCATGGTTACTGAAAATAGAAATTTCTGTGAATTTCTTTCAAAATGCTACACCTCCTACAGCTTTGGTCCAATTTCAATATAACTTGGCTGACAAGTAAACTACACTAATGCCTAGGTCACATTTCCCGGCCGGTAGCCGTAGAACGGTGGTAATCAGTGGTAATCCGTGGTATTAACGATGCCCCTACATCGGTCATCATTGGCTAGTAGTCCTTAAAGTATCAGTCACATTATCCAGCGATAGGTATACGATGGGCAACCAATGCATTTTATGATGAAAATGGTGTGGTTCCTGGCCAGACTTACAAAGGCTCAGTGATGCATTGCTAATCATAAAACGATGTTCCAGGATAATCCGCTGATGTATATTACATCGTTCATACATTGGTGAACATCTTTTGTACTTAGGTCGACTTCAGGCCAACGTTTGGCCGAACATCGACCGATGATCGTCCATTATCTGTTGAACACCACTCAACCCTCCGATGACCTCAGATTGAACAGAAATTGGAAGATGCTCGGTCATACATCGGCCAATCCTTGAAAGACGTCTTAATGATGGGTTGTCGATGAGGAGCAATGTGAGGCATCGTTGGAGACATAGCTGATTTTTAACTACGATTTATTTCCTACTGATGACCCCACCGATTTGCAAAATGGCCTCAGTCACCGTCTGATCACTAGTGGTACCCGGTCGGCAACCACGCCATTTTCATCAAAATACGCATCAGTTTCGCATCGTGTACCCCATCGCTGGATAATGTGACTTATACTTATGATACATAATTTTTTGCATCTGTTTTTATTTTGATGGGTGATAAGGATCATTAAAATCTTCCGTCTTCAACGGAAGACCTTATTGTTTTTCTTAGGTTTCTTTTCCACTATTTTTATTATTGTTTTTTTTTCTTACCGATTTTGTGCGCACGATTTCTCGAGAACGGCTCGATCGATTTTCATGAAACTTTCAGGTCTGATAGAACACCAAAAAATCTAGATATATATTTTTTTATTTTGATGACGTCACTTCCGGTCCGGAGATTTCTGCGATTTAGTGATTTTTAGAGGGTCACTTAGTCCGGCAGTTTTCTTAAAAAGCACTTAACACAGAAGCATGAAATTTTCAGTGATGCTTAGAGCAACCTTTGGAGAAGTGCACTAAGTATATCAAAACTACCGGAAGTACGAAGCGCCGACTCTCGCTATGGCCCGAAAATAGTCCTATCAAGAATTTCAAAATTTTTAGCACCTTTTATACGAAAACTTTTTACCTGAAAATATTTTGTTAAAGCATGTAGAACAAAAAAGGTGTAGAATTTGAAGATCTTTCAAATGACATCTCAAAAAAAGGGCTGGCCCTTGAAATAAGGGGCCAGGAGGGACCGAAAGTTTTTCCTTTCTATCTCAAAAAGTATTGAGAATTTGTGATACGTAAAAGAAGCAAAGTTGTTCAAAATGTCAAGCTTGATCTATTAAAGTCGTCAAAATACGTCCGACGTTGTCACTTCCGACCAAACCGGAAGTAATCGGTAAACGCATAATTTTGCCGTTCTTTACAGGTTTTTTTGTAATATAAGTCTCTGGGAGCATTTAAATTAATTTTCCGTCCGTCGTCGTCACTTCCGGTCAAACCGGAAGTAGCAGAAAATGGCTTATTTTTGAATTTTTTGATATGGATTTAGAGGATTCAAACCATTTTTGGGCGTTGTTTCACATATTTATTAAAAATGAAAGTTACTTCCGGTCAAACAGGACGGAAGACCTACTCGTTGCTTTGCAACGAGCTTTGCTCTAGTTTTTCTACTGATTGCTGTTTTGAAGTCTCAAGTCACAACTGCTTCTTTTCTCTGCCTTTGTTTTAAGTATAAACCAGTAGAGCTACAGTCTCGACAGAGACTTCTGGTTTCATGTTGTTTATCACATAAACTGTATGTTTTAGGGCCCAAAAAGTCTTTACAAGGCAGTATTAAGTAAGACTGCCTACCACCTGATGTGTGGAAAATCTGAGGAAACACAAAGGTCATCACAGGACAGACATCTTACTGTTGATGTACCTCTGAGAGACTTAAAATCAAGGCTACACAAACTACAGATCCTGTCACAGCACATCTGGTCTCAAGGCTCAATGCTCTGTAAAGGGAATCTTCAGACTAGGTCAGTTTTAATTTTGATGTTGTGTGTATTCACATGAATTTAGAGAAAGTCAGTAAAATGATTTTAAGATTCACTAATTTAATTTCTTGTTTGTCGGACATTTAATGAAGAAAGTACGAGCGGGCTAGTGGTAAAATAATAATATTATAACTTTATTGTAGGTAAAAGTTTTATGTTTGAAAAAAATTGAGCAGAGAATTATATTTTTTCTGATTTGCAGAGTAAGTAGGTTAAAAGTACGATAAATAGAGCAGAAATAGAACACAAAACAACAGAGAATTCCCATGGTGTGGGGTTTTTAAATTAATATTATTTGTATAGTTTTGTTTAAATACGAGCGCGCTGGTCTGACGAACAAAAAAATTTATTGGTGTGGCCTTAATGATAAAAATATACAATTTCATTTGTTGTCCTTTAAGGATACTTTTGAGACAGCACATCGTCCAAGTGTTTGTATCAATACTTCACTCCACTGTGGCAATGTTTAAATCCAAGGAAGCAGAGGACAAATACAAACAGAGTGTGTCTGAGTTCATCAACTGCCTCCAAAACAAAGATACCTCTCATTCGAACAGTGAGCAAATAATCCAAACCATAACAAACCTCCTGAATGGAGTTATGGGGCCTGATCTATTTATAGTAAGGGAGTGTTTGAGTGGAATACTTGCCGTTTCTGATGATGAGGCTGATATGAGAACAGTAGGAAGACAGTGGGTGTATGTAGGTCTACTGGGCATGCTCCTCCACAAACCAAGGTCACCTGTTGATCCAGTGGTTAAGACACAGATCAAACTACAGCTAAAACAAAGGGAGGTAAGAAAAAGTACTGAATACGTTCACATGAAAAACATAGAAATTTATGTTTTTAAAAATTCTGGAATTTACTTTCTGCTATTGATGAATAATTTCATGTTCAAAATTAGATAAAGATTATTTCAAAATAAAATAATCGTTTAATTAATTTTTTGGTCAGCTGGAGGAGATCAATACAGATATTGAAGTCAAGACCATCCATCACAGACAAATGACGGGTCTACATCTGCTGGACACGCCCTCCCACCTACAACATCCTTTGATCCTCCACTTGATCTACAGGAGGGAGAAGTTACAGAGACAGATAGAGGCTTTACAGTCCCAGCATGCCTACAGACCAAGCACCTGTCAGGTGAGTAGTATTGTATCTTCAGGATTAGTAGGATGACTATAGGTACAGACCTAGCACCTGTCAGGTGAGTGGCTGTATATCTCAGGATTAGAGGAGGAGTTCCCTCTGTACAGAGACATCACCACACCCTTCATTGTGGCCCTACAACAGGTGAGTGAATTAAATATTTATACCTGGTGCCAGGAACAGGTTTTTATCGTCAAAAAAAAAAAAATCCGGAAATTTTTTTTCCTACCCTTAACTAAAAAAAAAAAACAGGATGGCAACATGTTTTAGGGGTGACCCATCTAAACAAATAGATCTGGGCTTGGCCAGAAAAATCTCGCAACTAATTCAGTTTCCGGAGCGTTTTTGTTATTCAGTTAATGTGAAAAATTCAATCTGTTTGACAACTACGGGCCGTTCCTAGCCCCTGTTCCACTTGACAGCTCATCCTGGACTCCATGCCTGCCCACTAAACCGGAAGAGAATCTCGCAGTGTATATTTTACGTTTATGAAAACTTGTTCAAATGAAATCAAAAAAATAATTGTTCAACGTAATTTTATTCAGTTATTTTAAATATATTTAAGAGAACTTTAAAAAGTTATTTATTCCTTTTTCTTACGTGTACGACGATGTGTACCAGGGACAGATAGTTCAGTTTTTACAAGCTCCAAATTTAAATCACTGAAAAGCCATGTCGACAAAGAGCCAAATATTTAGACTAAGCGCTCTTATAAAGCATTATTTTGTTTGAAAAATACATCTTTTTATTGATCACGTATGGTGACATAAAATTGTACATAAAGTTTTACATGCATTTTTTTGGTTCTTTTCTTCAATTACGTCATATATTCACCTCGGAGTTCACTTCCGGTTTAGTGGCATGGAGTCCAGGATGAGCTGTCAAACTTAAAAACAGGCCATGAACAGCCCATAGTCGTCAAGCAGATTTGATTTCTTAACTTGAATAAATAGCACAAACACTCCGGATACTAAATTAGTTGCGAGATTTTTCCGACCAAGCCCAGATCTATTTGTTTAGGTGGGTCTCCCCAAAACACGTTGCCATCCTGAGGTTTTTTTAGTTAAGGGTAGGGAAATTTTTTTCCGAATTTTTCTTTTTTTTTTTTTTTGACAATTAAAACTTCAGACTCCTGTGCTTTAATTCATTGTAAACAGGTGTTCTTAAAATAAGTCCCTTCTCATCCACAAAACTTGGACTGCCTTCTGCAAGGCTTGCCCATCCTTTAAAATTTTGAAGGAATACTGAATATTTTGAAAGACATAAGAGATTCAGTCTAGAAGTTAGACAAGTGATCATGTTAAAAAGCCTTTAAAAGCAATATAACTGTAAAGGATACATGAGACCTTGTTTGTTTTAGGTGAGATGTGGGATGAGGCTTATAGCTGGCTGTACCACAGAAGCAAACAATGCACAACAACTGACAGAAAGACTGAAAGTGACCAGTCAGGTAGGAGTACTTCTGATGATGAAATAAGTTTGAATTACAATATCCATAAGTTTTTAAATAAAAAATTTGTTTCATTTAATTTTCACTTGCAGTTATTATGAATTTTCTGAGAATTATAAAATAAATTGTGAATTTTGTTCTCAAGGTCCATGAGACAGTTGGTCACATCAGGGAGGCAGCCCAGCTTCTAGGAAAGTTCCCATTTATCTCATCAGATGTAATCAACAGCTTAAAGTTAGCTCAGAAAATACTGTTAGTGGAGAGATTGGTTTCAGGTTGTGGGGGTCAAGTGGAAGAGAATGAGACAAACCAAACTTCAAGGTACAAATATTCTGTTATTTGTTTCCTGCTTAATAGAAAAATGTTGTTTCATCGGTTGAGAAGAGAATTATATAAAACTATATTATGCTGCCTTCTTACATGACATTGTTCTATCCCTTCCTCCTTCAGGTTGTACCTTGGTGCCTTGTTTTTACTGCGGAACTCTGCCTTGATGAGAAAAGAATTGAACAGAGAGATCCTGTTGTCTCTGCACCATATCTTCAATCGTTTTATGTTGTCATGGAAACATCAGGAGGAGATCCGACGTCAGAAAGAGGCTGAGGAGGATCTGTATAAATACAAGGCAAAACTCCACGGCGATGACAGAGACAATGAAGTGATAGAGGAGGAGGAATTCAGACAGAACTTTCCTTCCTTTCAACAGGTAGGTCAGGGTGGCATTATACAAGTGTAGAGTCATAAAATGATTGTAAGCTGTTGGCAAAGGTGAAAGGAAAATCAGATTATGATTTTTTTTACATTTGAAATCCAAGAGACTATTGTAACAGTTATTATTTGATATAGAAATGGGTTTGCTCTAATTGAGAGAAGTTAATAAGGATATGATTCAAAAATGTTATCTAGAAATGTCTTCAGTGTGAAGCAGAAGTGTTTACACATACATAATAATATTATTATTCTTTTTTGATAGGAATTCCAAGACTTGATAACACCCACCTCTCTGGAAGACACTGGTTTATCTGAGCCAATGGAACCTGAAATAGAAGACACACCCAATACAGTGACTGACAGAGAATTGACAGCTGTAAGCCACACCCACCAGCTACTGTTCTCAAGTCTGTCCTCCTCTGATTGGTTAAAGCAAAGTAATGTGACAGAGGTCACGACCAAGGATATCACAGAGCCCTCATTGTTGTGCTATAGCATTGCTGCACCTTTGTTGAGAGGGCAGTGGAACTGTAAGTTTAATCGTATGTTAAAAAAACAATAGAGACACTTGATAACCTAAGTAAGAACAGATTCCATCTCAATAATTGATACATACAATTACAGTGAACCCTCAGATATCCGGACGCCAGATATCCGGATGCTTCAGTATCCGGACGATTTTTCATCGAAACAAAATTCTTAAATGTTTATTTGTTTGTTTATCTGGTGATTCAGATATCCGGATGCTTCACATATCCGGACAAATTGACTGGGAACCAAAGCGTCCGGATAAATGAGGGTCCACTGTACATACTTTTTTCGTAATTTCATTTTTTCTCTCCTCTACAGTGTCAGAAGTAGAAAGGCAGACATTAGGAAGCCACCTGGTGGCCAGTCAGACACTACAAGAAGAGATAACTCCTGTATATGATAATCAGGCTGAGAAATCATCACCTCAGGGTTATGATGTTTACTGTGACTCTTACTTGTCAGAGGTCATTCAATGTGTCCCTATACTACAGAGACTGATGGTCAGAGTGAGAGAACTTCAACAGGAGTGGCCGGACCACCCAACATTAATACAGGTAATATCAGCCAACACTTGTACAGGTAATATCATCCAACACTAACACAGGTAACATCATCCAACACTTATACAGGTAACACCATCCATCACTTATACAGGTAACATCATCCAACACTTACGAGGGCTGTTCAATAAATAATGTCCTCAGTGCTCAGAAAGAATTAAAAGACGATTTTCAATTATTTATTCTTCATGATTTTATTATTTAATCTCTTTTAAGTAAAATACATGTCCGTAGCATTTTCTATCCAATTTCTGATCGTTTGTAGAACTCATATTTAGGTATGTCCCTCAGTATACTGGGAAATGGCAGATCCAATGATTTTCCGGACTTGTTTCTTCCTTCTAAAAGGTATTTTTTCCAAGTCTGGAAATTGAAACAAGTCAAGAGGTCAAAGATCTTGCAAAAATTGTTAATGTGAAAAAACATTAACTTTCTGTTTATCCCGAGAACCCATTTACTCTTCAGGGCATGCGGGTTTGGACGCTGTCTTGAAGAAATTCAATGTAGTGAATTCCTGATTCTGGGTCCTTCCTCTAATAAACCTTTTGATTTTTTGGCCAAAGAAGTGCTTTCTTGACTCCTCCAGAAATTAAACTGTCTCTCCGAATACGATTTTGAACAACATTACCACAAATGTTTAAGAAAATTACATATACATCTGTCTTTGTGCTCTTGCATACCTGTGCACTTTTCAGACATTCGCGGTTTTCATCAAGTACATCTTATGGTAAATTTTGTTTTTAGGGTTTTAAGCGATAGATTAATGTTCCAATATCTGTTTGAAAATAAAACAAACGTGGATAACTACAATTACTGATATTTTAAAATAATTGTAAAGATTTTTGTACACGCTGTCATTTTCACTCATTTTTCAAAATATAGGGTGACCTTTGAGTATCAAGCTTTTTTACCGCCAAACGTTTCTTAAATACAGTGTAAAATACCCCTGATGTGATGTCTATCAAATTTGCTATGTGTCTTAAAGTCAATCATACAGCATCAAATATCGTTTGTTGAAATTTGGCGAACAGTACATGAGTTGTTATAATTTTTGTTGGCAAGGAGGGTACCCATTTTTGATGCCCATTATATAATGTTTTATCATTGAAATCCAACTGCTTTTTTGTCTATAAAACAGGCATTGGTTGCTCTAAATGTCACATATTTCAGTTAATATTTCTTTGGGATTTTTTTACATGTTTTACGGCAGCTTTAATGAAGCTTTTATTTTCACTCTTGTTTACTGATTCTTTAACATTCATTTATAATGCAGTGTCTCGAAAAGCCCTTGTTTCACAGCTTCTCAAGATGAAACTATATGATGAAAAGTGGTCACATTAGCTGTTATAAATTCACGAAAGATTCAATAATGAGAGAAGGTCAAGTTTAATGTTATACAATATCTGTAATGTATGTCATATAGTTCAGGACATTATTTATTGAACAGCCCTCGTATACAGGTAATATCATCTGACACTAATACAGGTAATATCATCCAACACTAATACAGGTAATATCATCCAACACTAATACAGGTAATATCATCCAACACTAATACAGGTAATATCATCCAACACTTATACAGGTAATATCATCCAACACTAATACAAGTGATATCATCCAACACTTATACAGGTAATATCATCCAACACTAATACAGGTAATATCATCCAACACTTATACAGGTAATATCATCCAACACTTATACAGGTAATATCATCCAACACTAATACAGGTAATATCATCCAACTCTTACACAGGTAATATCATCCAACACTTATACAGGTAATATCATCCAACACTAATACAGGTAATATCATCCAACACTAATACAGGTAACGTCATCCAACACTAATACAAGTAACATCATTCAACACTAATACAGGTAATATCATCCGACACTAATACAGGTAATATCATCCGACACTAATACAGGTAATATCATCCGACACTAATACAGGTAATATCATCCAACACTTATACAGGTAAGTGAAGTCAATCCATATTAATATTGTACTCTTTGTATATTATGAATAAAATACTTCTTAAACTAAACTTATACAGGTAACATCTTCCAAACTTTATACAGGTAACATTTAACATCATCAGTGTTTATCATGTTTAAACTTCAGAAGGAAATGCACAATTTCATCACTTTGATACTTGTTTTGGCAAACGCACATTCCATCATTCTCTTTTGACACTGTCCCTCTGTTATACAGGTGACACAGATTGTTGTGTTATACAGTTTTGACACTGTCCCTCTGTTATTGCAGCCCGGAGGACCGGGCTGCTCTATACATATAAGTTTAAGTGTTGGTGTATGGGCATTGGGATGGGAGTAGTTATTCAGAATTAATGGTTTTCTAAACATTGAAAAGATAGTTAAGGGAGTATGGGACTTTCGGGTCCTAATTTCAGAGTAATTAAAACTCTGAAACACATACACGGATTGAAAGGAGAACTTTTCTATAATTTGATAAAATACATCAGAAAAGGTTCTAGTGCGTAAATCTAAAAATAGAACACGCCAAAGTAAGGGGGGTAACTCTGTAGGGAAAAAATGATATTTTTATAAGCAATTTTTAAAAATTCAGAATTCCCATAAAAACATCAGAAAATAATTATTTTATAAAATATTGTTATCACCAGGAATGGAATTTTATTTCTAAAAGAAAAAAGTACAAGGAAAAAATATAAAATGACAAATTATTTTGACTTATTTACATAATATCAATTTATTGGGGAAATGGGTTAATATATATGTACAATGTAATTTTAAGCAATTAAGGAATAATTAAAAGTTTAATTGCTTATGCAATATTTATAGGGATTAATATTTTTTACAAATTGCTAATAAAAAATTATAAAGTTAGTGTACAGTTTTAGAGTAATATCCTTCGAATTTCCTAGACCCGAATTTCCTCTGCTCGAAATTGTTATGAAATGTGATAAAAAATAAGCTTGCATTTTTAAAATGCTTGCTTTTAGTTTTTTATTCACTTAACTTAATCTATTAACACTAAAAAATTTCCTCGTTGCTATATTTCTTTCGTAACACGGTGGATAATGCGCTTTTCGTCAGAGCTTTGTTGAGCAATCCGGATATCTTCCGATTTCACGATTTAGTTTTGCACATTACAGTGTACAAGTTATTTCCAGTCTGCAACTCAAACTCAAAATTGACACTCGGATTTCCTCGGATGACTCGTACCTCGCACATAACGGAGCAAAGCGGAGTCAGCCGAGGATTGCCGATTGCAAAATTGACGATGCTAAATCAAATTAGCTGATTACAGGAGGTATCTTCAATTGTCCGTGAATAATTATTATTTAAAAAAACAAAAAAGAATTATAAGTTCTATTGTTTCTAACGCCTGAGTGAAATTGATGAAATAAAGGGATCGGGCGAGGACAGAAATCACGGCATGCATGTAGTGTACATTGGCACTGCCTCATGCTCTGAATACTCTTTATTTATAATAAGATTAAAGGTTGTATCTCCACGTACAACTATGATTAATAATAAATCTGCGTTTTGTTTTGAAGATTTTTATGTCCAGTACCATATAAAGATGATTTATGAGTCAATAGACCCCTTTCCTATGACATATTTTGCGTAGGAGTTATTCCCCTTTTAAAACTGACATATCTTAGGCCAGTTAGGGCAACATTCCCAGATCCCTTCATTATTCAACCAAGTTCAATTTGTTATACTGGTTACTGAGGTAAAGATAACACTATTTTTCTTATGAAACTATATTTGTTAAAGCCTCTATTTATTCATAATTTTAAAATTGTACATATTTTCCCCAATATATATTTCTTACATGCATGTTTAAAATTGGTTGCTCAAAGAGGTAAATTAACTACTTTGCCCTACAAGATGGCGGCTAAGGAGAATAACTCGTAGGCAAATAATGTCAAAGGAAAAGGGTCTATAACTGATATTATGAATATGAAACCACCGCACATCATGGACACTCTGTTGAAGCTGGGGAAAAAGTGACACACCACCACAATACACTACAATGTATTTTACTACGTGTATAATATGGTGAAGAGTAAAAACAATAATATTTTTAAAAAATATTTATATTATCATCCTTATAAAGCTGGAAAAATAAATTACCAAAACAAGTCCTTTGATAGAGTGTCACTAAAATAATTACGAACTAAAACAAATACAGAATGATGTTGACTGTTGAGGGCAACTTTATTTTAGCCTCCAAGGGTTGAAATATTGTCCAACGTGGAGCAAAGGACAATATTTTCATTCCACGGAGGCTAGCATAATCAATGTCACTCGAAAACAGTCAATAATTGTTATGCTAAACAAATGATAGAATATTAGTATTTTGTTTTAAATAAATTATATCTACAATTTGACCTACATGTATTGCTAGCAAATCTTGCCTTAATTGTTTTTTTTTATATTGTGACATGATGTTTTTTAGCTCACCTCAACGAAGTTGGGGGGAGCTTATGTGATACCCTCGGCGTCGGCGTCGGCGTCGGTGTCGGCGTCGGCGTCGGCTTCCCGGGTTAAGGTTAAGTTTTTTGGAGCAGTTTTCTTTTTAAGTACTTCTATGTCCTATATTGATTAGACATGCATGGAAGATGTTGCTATTGTGTTTCATTGTACCAGTCAAAGTTTCAGATGCTGCAATTTCAGCAAAGGAATGACCAGGTTAATGTTTTTGGTCCAGGTTAACATTTTTGGTGCAGTTTTTGGTGTAGGTCTCATTTCCGAGTAACTATAAGCTCTATGTTGACCAAACTTACATGGATGATTCAGCTGAGGATGAATACTACCAGCCTTGCTTCGGATGCTGAATCTGACCTACATTTTCCGGTTGAGTGAACAGGTTAAAGTTTTTGGTAAAGGTTTCTTATCGAAGATACTTTGAGCCCTATAATGACCAAACTTGAATGGATGGTACATCTTAGGATGTATTCTACTAGACTTGCTTCGGATGCTGAATCTGACCTAC